TAAATGGCGCCCAGCATTTTGGACTGTGCGCCCTCCTGGGAGCGCGCGGAACCGCGATCCGGTGCCTGCTGTGTCCGGAGGACCAATCGCTGTACAGGACCTCTGTGTGAGGTCTCGATCATGTGATCACTGAATAGGAGTAAGCAAGATGTCACTTATGTCATCATTGCTTACTACGTGTGAAATCTGCGAATGAGAGATCACATGGTACAAGGCTATTTGCAACATTCTTGTACCATGTGACAAGCTGTGACCAATCACAGCTCTCACAGTATTTCTCAATGGCTGCAAAAATGCAGCCAGAGAGAAGGAGAAATGATTGCTGTTACTGCCTTTTATGGGTGTAAAAGCAATCGGTGTAAAAAAAAAAAAAAAAAAAAATCATCACCCCCCCCCCCCCCCACAAGTAGTACATTGTCACTATGGTAACACTGTACTGCTAGGGTGACAGTGTTTTTTTTTTTTTTTTTTTTTTTTAAAAAAGTAAACCTTTTTTGAAAAAATAATCTTTTGGTTATAAACTAATTTGGGTTAATTTTTTTTTTTTTTTTTACTAAAAAGATAACTGAATACATTTTGGCCAAGATTTATGAAGAGATTATTTGCGAAAAAAACTTTTTTCACAATTTTTTTTGAACTTTTTTCATTTTTATAGCAAAAAAATTAAAAATCCCAGTGGTGAATAAATACCACCAAAATAAAGTCTTATCTGTCTCAAAAAAATGCTAAAAAATTCATATGGGTACAGTGTTGCATGACTGTACAATTGTCATTCAAAGTGTGACTGCACTGAAAATTGGCCTGGACAGGAAGGGGGTAAAAGTGTCTGGACTTGAAGTGGTTAAAATTTACTTTTCTTATTCGGTCCCTTTTGGTCTGTTGAACATACAATTAAAAACCTATTGCTGTGTCTGTCCTACATGTACCAAAAATTAAGAAAACAAAAAAAAAAAAAAAAAAAAACCTGCTGAGCTGGCCTGAAATTCAGTAAGCTTGCATCTTACTGTGGTCTTTGCCTCTGCTGACTGGTATTCAACACAGAATACTGATCTTAAGTACATGTTTTTTGGTTGCAAATATGTTAGCTGATTAGGTCTAAATTCACTTGCCACAAGCTTGTTAGATGTCAGTGACTCAGAGAATTAAAAGGAGTCACATTCATTGCATTAACTATTAATAAAGATAATAAATTACTGAAAATTGCTGTATTAATGTTGAAATACAGTACTACTACTTTAAAAACGTGCATATCCCCAATCTACTCCTGTGATGACAGCTGCTGTTTTAGTATTTCATGCTCTTTATGCTAGCCAGTGGGGATGATGATGCATGAACATCCTGCTGGTTGCAAAACTACATCTCCCATGGTCTCTTGCAGTGCAGCCAGGCTTTGTCCTTTTGGCATGGTCCTTTTTTAAAGCGGCATTAAACCCACAAAATTGATACTGCAGCTTTACAAGTCCTTAAATATAGTGGCTGTTAGTTTTTTTTTTCCTTTTTTAATCTTTTTATCCTTTTTTTTTACCTGGTGTCAGGCCAGTAATACATTTCCTGTCTTGGGATGTTTTCACGCTGAATAGAAGCTCAATAGAGATATCTCTGCACAGTAGCATTGTTAATCTGGGCAGATTTAAAGCCGAACTAAAGACAAGAATACTCACCTATGCCTTCGCTGGTCCCACAACCTGGCATCCTCTCCTGGCTTCTTCTTCCTAATGCCAGTCTTCGGCATCTTGATTGGAAGATGCTGGGTTACAACACCGCCATGCATCCACAGGACTAATCTCCTGCTGGCACTGTGCCGGAAATGTAAAAGGAACTTGGCATACAGAGAATCAGGCAGATATGGTTATTTCATGTTTACTTCATTGCCCTGCAAGACTTGTATTTTCTGCTATTTATTTCATTGCAGCGGTTTTTTAGGTTTAATACTGCTTTAAATTGTAGCAGTACATTGTTTTTTTTTTTTTTTTTTTTTTTTTTTTAATGCTCCTCCAGTTGTTCCCATTCATGCAAAAGCCTTGAACTTTATTCTTAATCTTGTTTGAGGAAGAAATGCGAGCATTGTGCATAATTGCAACACATGTAATTCTTGCATTTTTACATCATGTGACGGGCTATCTACTGGTGCTTTTTCAGTGCACTCGTTTTTTAAAGCAGCCATATGGTAGTCAGTCAGTTTGTGAGAGCCTTGACTTTTCTCTGGATTCTTTTTTGCAACTGGGAGGCTTGGCGATATATAAAGGTCGATTAGGTTTGTATCGAGCACTCCCAGGAAACTGGGATACGAAGCCTCAAGTTTGTGGCGCATCGGCGCAGTTGATAGTCACACGTGGGCACTATAGTGACTACCAAAAGCTAGTAGCACTTGTGTGCATGCATGGATGCTCCACTGGTCTCTGCCAGCTCCTGAGTACCTGAAGGGACTTGCAGCATATCTGCACACGCAGTTTTGTTTAAAAAATGGCAAAGAGGTGGGGGGAGGGCATTTTTGTATATTTACTATTTTACTTTAAAGTCTGTGTGTGTTTTTTTTTTTTTTTTTTTTTTAACATCTTCTATCCTAAATAGTGGTGTGTGTGTGTGTATAAACATGTAACTTGTTCAAAAGGTGAAGTTGGCATTTATCCATTAGACCTCTAGGCTTTTTTCTGAAACTTTTTGTTGACATGTACAGGAAGAAAAAACTTTTTTGCTATAACATTAGTTAGAACCCCCATACATTATATAGTTTGTTTTTTTTATTTTTTTTATTTATTTTTTTTTTTTAAAGCAGAGGTCCTAGAGAATAAATTGGTGAGTTTTGCAACTTTTTATGCCATGTTTTTCAAACACAATGTTTTGTGCCAAAAAAATTACACTTTTTTGACGTTTGCAAAGAAAACCACAATACATAACCCAATTTTTGGTAAAATATAATCATGTTACGCTGAGTATATACCAAACATGTCACGCTTTAAAATTATGCATGCCTGTGCAGCAGCGACAAACAGCGTACATTTTACTATCTATAAGCAGCGCTTTAAAAGCCTTTACAAGTTACTACTTTAGATATACACAGGAGGTCTAGTGCTTGAATTACTGCTCATGATCTGACGTTTGTGGTGGTGCCTTACTTGTGTGGGACGATCACTGTTTTTACACTGTTGCTTTAATTTTTTTTCACTCTTATTGCTGTCACAAGGAATGTAAACATTTTTTTTGAACGCATTAGGCATGTGACACTCTTTATGGAGGGTTCAATAAGACCCCAAATCCCTCATCTGCACTTAAAAGACAAGTATGGGCTTGTTTTGTTTTCCCCCATTATACTTGCCTAGGTGGATGAATCCTGTTCCCTTCAGCTGCTTAGTTAGCCACTCTTTATTTGCTTTTACAAGTTTTACCAGTTCACACTGTAAAATTTCCATTTTTGTCATCCCATCCATTTTCGTGGTCTGCCGAATGCATGGGAACGTGCAAAAAGTACAACCGGCATGATTTCTAAAATTGCACTATACCAAACCGCATGGTTCTGCACCACCATGTGCTTAATGGCAAAAAGCGCACGCGTATGGTAGACTCGTTTGGGGTGGCATTAACCATGTCACCTGCATGCATCTAAAGAGGACAGCATGTTCCATGAGGTGCGGGAAATGCACGTGTTAACACAAGTGGTGTGAAGAGGCTCGAAAATGATTTATGAAAAATAGAATATACGGCCATTACGTAGAGGATGCGTATGGGTTGTTTTTGAGAATAAAGAAATCACTTTTAGTTTAAGTGCCTCCTCTGTAACCTAAGGTATGGAATCTGATTTGCTTAGGCCAGCTAGTAGGATGATTTTGGGCTGAAGGTGTTAACTAGTAGTCCAAAGAGCATGAGGCAGGGCAGCAGCATAAGGTCTGCAGAATTGCAAAATCTAAAATGGCGCTATCATATTATCCATGCTATGCAACCATGTATCACAAGAATGTGTGCATCCCATAGTTATATGTTAATATCCCCAAATTTTGGCTCTGCGGGGTTTTTTTTTTTTTTCCATGCACTCTGAAGTTAGAAGTACAATAACCCCAGTGTTGGTGTCATTGGCAGTATTATCCCCTGCCATTGGTGTTAGTAATAACCCCCCCCCCCCACCACACACACCATTGAAACGTGCCCCTCCCTTCCTCCCAAATGAGGAAGAAGGGCGTGGGGGGTTAACTCATTGGCACGACCATGAATGCAGTAGGGGGTCAGTGACAATGACAGTTAACCCCTCCCCCAATACTGTGAATTGGTGATCACTTACTTGATCATAGGCTGCCATCCCACTGTCTCTCCCCTGGCCAGGACTTTAACTCCTCTGTGTGCCGGGTGCTTGAACACAGACTGTTCCAGTGCCTAACACCCCACTGCCATTCTACTTCTGAACTGGTGCCCAACAGCCTGCAAGCCACATGTTGGGCACCAGGGATAAAAAAATGTCTAATACACTCTATGAATCCCCTCCGTCTGTTGTGACCTCCAGTTACTTTAGAAAGTTTATCAACCTCTTCGACTTTAGATGGGCTTTCCATCAAAGTAAATGGGTATTGCTGTGTAGAGTTCAGAATACTTCAATGCATCCAGCCTTGCGCAGACTGCAGTAATAGAATTCCCTAGAGTTGAGTTGTAGGTAAGTATGATCTTATTCTGGAAGGGCTCGGCTGGGCAACAATAGTATTCTATTGTATTACTAGTGTAAGATGTGTGTTTTTTTTTTCCTAATTGTATATTTTTAAGGAAGTCTCTAGGTATGCTCAGATCCATGTATTGAACACAATCTTTCGTTAAATACTGTCCCTATAATTTTTTTTTAACTCGCTGTAGTTCATTTAACCTTTAGCAGGCATTTGGCTTACGTTTGGCATTTTTTCAGAAAAATTAGAAATCTGCATAGAACGTAAAAATATAACTTGCGTTAAAATTAATGTATGGTTACCGTTATAAGAGCTATACTTTTTAATTTCATCACCAACTTGTTTTTATTTTCTTTCAGGTGGAATCCTTCATCCTGGACCAAGATGATTTGGAAAACCCAATGCTAGAAACAGCATCTAAACTACTGTTATCAGGCACAGCCGATGGAACAGATTTAAGAACAGTCGATCCTGAAACACAGGCTAGATTGGAGGCTCTACTCGAAGCCGCAGGTATGCTTTGGTGTGGGGTTATATAGAGATACAGTTACAAGATACTGCTTTGCAAGCACATAAAGTTGACCACTCCAAGAAATACCCCTTTTTAATATTGCTTAAAATAGAGCTAAGAGCAAAAACTTTTTTCCCCCATTTTGGATAGAGTAATGGAAGATTATAACCCGTCAGTCTTTTTTTTTTTTTTTTTTTTTTTTTTTTTTTTTTTCCCTCTAAGGGAGATTCCCTTTACTGCCTGTCCTATAGCCAACACAGGAAGTCAGAGGAAATTCTTCCAAAGTGAGGGAATCTCAGGGTATCAACAGGTTCACCAGAACTAGTGTCTCCGTTTAAAGATTCCCCTTCTATTACTGTTCTGATGTCAATCCAATTTTTCTTTTTCTTTTACTTACACGTTTGATTATAACGGTAAACAGGACAAATGGTTTTTACTCCTGTCTGTGCCCCCATTACAGAGATTCAACCTGGAAAGTATTCTAATTCCTCTCTGCTCTATCCAAAACATTTTTTTTTTTTTTTTATTTTTATTACTTTAACATGTCCATGTCTAACAACACTGCTTTGGATTTCAGTTAGTTACAGGTAGACTGCTAGTCTCAAACAGGAAGTTATAAGCTCTCTGGATTTCAGATAGAACCTGTATATCTTATTGGTACAATACAGAACACAGGACTTTGTTCTTAGACTGTGGGACTATATTCTCCTAGTTTCAGATGATTGGGCACTGGCAAAAAACATTTGCTAGTGCTGTCTTTAGGGGATACCATATAACCTTAACCACTGGATGAAGCTCTAATTGTTGCTTGTTTTCTTGGGTGATGGACCTGTTTTCTGGAGAAGCTATTTTTCTTTCTTCTTTTAAAATAAGTTTTATTTTGTTTTTTTTTCTTTCTTTGACTGATGGCTTATTGCCTTGTGCTACCCAGCAGTTTCTGGATCGGTCTGAACTCCACCCTGTGGTGCCAGTCTGTAATGGTTTGTTCGGGCATTGGGTCCTGTGTTAGGCGCTTACCCTTGGTACGAAGTGCAGGGTGCTATACAAATCCCAGATATGCCCATCATGAATTTTAGGCCCGAAAATTAGTTTTAAAACTCCTTACAGTGTATACAGCGGGTAAAAAGTATTGAACATGTCACCAGTTTTCTAGTTAAATGTATTTCTAAAGGTGCTATTGCAGGGGTGGGCAAACTTTTTGACTTGAGGGCCGCAATGGGTTCATATATTGGACCCGGGGGCCGGACCAAGAGTAGATGAATGATGTGTATGTGTCATCCATAGTAAGTATAGTAATATTCCCCCATAGTAAGCATAGTAATTCATCCCCCACATAGTAATTCATCCCCCATATAGTAATTCATCCCCCACATAGTAATTCATCCCCCACATAGTAATTCATCCCCCACATAGTAATTCATCCCCCATATTAAGTCCCCAAGTCCCCCCTGTGTCAATTCACTTACCTTTACTCCGCGCGTTCCTCTCGCCGTATTCCCGCGCCGTTCCGGTGTAGCGTGAAAATCTGTCTCCTATGAGGATCTGTCCCCGTCGACGTATCTGCGCATGTGCCAGTTTCAGGCATTAGCAGCCGATCGGCGATCTCCGGCACATGCGCAGATACGTCGAGGGGGACAGATCCTCATAGGAGACAGATTTTCACGCTACACCGGTCTTCAGGGCGGACTGTGAGAGGAGCCTAGCGGGAACCTAGCTCCGCGGGCCGGATTAAAAGGTCCGCCGGGCCGTATACGGCCCGCGGGCCGTAGTTTGCCCATTGCTGTGCTATTGACATGAAATGTTTACGACCATGTCGGTAACAACCAATGCAATCCAAACATACAAAGAAACCAAAAGAAATGGGTTCAGATATTGTGTAATAAAATATGACACTGGGAAAAAAAGCATTGAACATGCTAACTGAAATTTATTTATAAATTATCTATTTATAAATATATAATTGTACAAAATCCTTTATTGGTAATGACAGCTTCAAGATGCCTCCTGTATGGAGAAACTAGTCGCATGCATTGCTCAGGTGTGATTTTGGCCCATTCTTCCACACAGTCTTCAAATCTTGAAGGTTCTGTGGGCCTTTTCTAGGAACTTTGATCTTTAGTTCTTTCCATAGATTTTCTATTGGGTTCAAGTCAGGTGATTGGCTGGGCCATTCTAGCAGCTTTATTTTCTTTCTTTGAAACCAATTGAGAGTTTCCTTGGCTATTTGTTTAAGATCATTGTCTTGCTGACGTTTGTAAGCGCGCCTAAGCTGTAGACTTATTTGGTACTTGATTGATCATTTCAAAGGCCAGAGTAGCTAACCACTTGTCCTCCTGAGGATTTACCCCCCCTCCTGACCAGGCCATTTTTTGCATTACAGCACTGCATTACTTTAGCGGACAATTGTGTAGTCATGCAGCGCTGCACCCAAATTAAATTTACGTCCTTTTTTCCCACTAATTTCTTTATTTGATCACCTATGCGGTTTTTTTTTTTTTTTTTTTTTTTAGCATTATAAAAAAAAGACCAACAATTTTGAAAAAAAAAAAAAAACAATTTTTGGCTTTTTGCTATTAAACATGTCCAGTAGAAAAAAAAAAAAATGGTCATAAATTTAGGCCAAAATGTACTCTGCTACATATCTTTGCTTAAAAAAAAAAAAAATCACAAATGGCAATATAGTTTTTTTTTTTTTTTTTTTTTTTTTTTTTTTTTTTTTTTTTTTTTAAATTTTACCAGTAATGGCGGCGATCAGCGACTTATAGCGGGACTGAGGCAGGCATTCTAACACTGGTGACACCAATACAGTGATAAGTGCTGAAAAAAAAGCACTGACAATGTGCTATTGGCACTGGGCAGGAAGGGGTTAACATAAGGGGCGATCAAAGGGTTAACTGTGTGCTGTTTTACTTGTTTCTGTTTCACTGTAAGCACACTGCTTTGGATGGCTGTGCTGTGCACAACCATCCAAAGCAGTGTGCATGAGCTGACAGGGTGGAGAACTGTATTGTTTACATACAGTTCTCCCCGTTGGAGATGCTCGGCAATCGCCAGGAGCCGGTGAGTAATCTGTGTGTGTGGTGGTGTGTTTGTTTTTTATTTTTTTTTTTTTTTATTTGTGTGTGTGTGTGTGTATTGTGTGTTGTGTGTTTTTTTGTGTGTTGTGTTATTATGTGTGTGTGTGTGTGTGTTATGTTTGTTGTGTGTGTGTGGTATTGTTTGTGTGTTTGTTTTGTTATATTTGTGTGTTGTGGGTGTTGTGTGTGGTTTGTGGTGTGGTGTTTTTTGGTTTTGTGTATTTTGTGTGTGTGTGTGTGTTTTTGTGTGTGTGGTGTGTTTTGATTTTTGTGTGTGTTGTGTGTTTGGGTTTTTTGTTTTGTGTGTGTGGGGGGGTTGTGTTGTTTTTGTTGTGTGTGTTTGGGGGGGGGTTTTGTTATTGTTTTTTTGTTTTTTTTTGGTGTTTTTTTTTTTTTTGTGGGGTTTTTTGTTTTGTGTTGTTGGGTTTTTTTTTGTTTGTGTTTTTTTTGGGGTAATTTTTTTAGTTGTTGTGTTTTGGGGGGTTTTTATATTTGTGTTTGTTTTGTTTTTTTTTTTTTTGTTGTTTTTTGTTTTTGGTGTGGTGTGTTTTTTTATTGTGTGGGTGGTGTTGTGTGGGTTGGTTTTTTTTTGTTTGTTTTTGTTTGTGTTTTTGTTTTTTTTTTGTTTTTTGTTGTTTTGGTATTGTTTTGTTTTGGGTTATATTTTTGATGTTTGTGGGGTTGTATTTATGTGTGTTGTTGGGGATATTATGTGTGGGTTAGTGTATTATTTTTTATGTGTGTTTTGTTTTTTATTTGTGGTTTGTGTGTTTTTTTATCTGATTGGTGTGTGTTTGTGTGTTTGTGATGTCAGTATGTGTATTTTTGTATTTATATATATATTGTCATGGTAAGGGGGTGATTGGTTTTTTTTTTTTGATAAATTTTTTTAATTTTTTTGTTTTTTGTATTTGGTTTTTTTTTTTTATACACACAAAGTTTTTGGGTCCCCTTTTATGTATTGGAACAAATATAAAACAGAGGCAGAAAAGCAAAAATATGACATAATGTCACACAAAACCCCAAAAATGGGCTGGACAAAAGTATTGGCACCCCTTAACTTAATTTTGGTTGCACAACCCATTTGGAAAACATAACTGGTTAATCAGTCGCTTCCTATAACCATCAATAAGCTTCTGACACCTCTCACCCGGAATTTTGGACCACTCTTCCTTTGCAAACAGCTCCAGGTCTCTCTTATTGGAAGGACACCTTTTCCCAACAGCAATTTTAAGATCTCTCCACAGGTGTTCAATGGGATTTAGATCTGGGCTCATTGCTGGCCACTTCAGAACTCTCCAGCGCTTCTTTGCCATCCATTTCTGAGTGCTTTTTGACGTATGTTTGGGGTCATTGTCCTGCTGGAAGACCCAGGATCTTGGACGCAAACCCAGCTTTCTGACACTTGGGCCCTACAGTGCGACCCAAAATTTTGGTAATCCTCAGATTTCATGATGCCTTGCACACAGTCAAGGCACCCAGTGCCAGAGGCAGCAAAAAACAACCCCAAAACATCATTGAACCTCCACCATTTTTACCGTAGGTACTGTGTTTTTGTTTTTTTGTAGGCCTCATTCCGTTTTCGGTAAACAGTAGAATGATGTGCTTTACCGAAAAGCTCTTCTTGGTCTCATCTGTCCACAAGACGTTTTTTTTTTTAAGGCTTTTGGCTTACTCAAGTACATTTTGGCAAACTGTAGTCTTGCTTTTTTATGTCTCTGTGTCAGCAGTGGGGTCCTCCTGGGTCTCCTGCCATAGCGTTTCATTTCATTTAAAATGTCGACGGATAGTTCGCGCTGACACTGATGCTCCCTGAGCCTGCAGGACAGCTTGAATGTCTTTGGAACATGTTTGGGGCTGCTTATCCACCATCCGGACTATTCTTGCGTTGCAATCTTTCATCAATTTTCCTCATCCGTCCACGA